CTAATGGGTTCAAACCACCAGCCTTCTAGTTAGCAGTCGAGTGCTTAACCACTGTACTACCAGGGCTCCTTACATCATTACCTAATTGCTAAGTTGCATCATTGTATAACTCAAATCACTAAAAGTCATGGCTCAGCCAAGTTGATATATAACCTTAACCAACACAGCCAGTGTTACTTTTGTCTTGCACCTCAGCATTCATTAATATCAGACATATGTCATTGATACCCACAGCAGTCGGAGTGTAGAATTTTTACTACTGTCATAAATGCAAAATGTCAGACAATGAGGTAGTTGATAGGTGTAGAGTAGGTGTAAAGTTTCCATCAGCCTTTCACTTAATGATTTTAGTCTCTACCAATTATCATTGCAAAGAATCCTCCTTGATTTCATTAGGGTTGAAAATGGTGATTTTCTACTGCTATAAAGACCATTTTCCTCATCAATACTAAACTATCCTGAAATACAGTTTATACTAGAAAAGCACAATTATTATCTTGGAATAGTTTTGAGCTTCTGTCGTACTTCAGGTTGGCACACAAGGAGTAACAGAAAACAATGGTATTTAGAAACTTTTTTCCCCCCCAACCCAAGCAGGTAATTCTAAAATAACAAAATCAAATAAATGGGCCAGAGAATTTACAGTCATTCCTGTGAGCTGCCCAACTTATTACTTCAAGTCATGGAAACTTGAGAACGGTGATTTTCATTTTTATGTCCTTACCCTTGCCATCTTTCTTGTAGAGAACATTCCAACAAAGAACGTGTGGGTCTCAGTAAAGAAAATTTATTGCTTCGAGGATGTACCATTAGAAACACAGAGGCTGTGGTGGGCATTGTGGTTTATGCAGGTTGGTTAAACTTCTGACCTTTTGCCATTATCTACTTTATCTTTTTCCCCAAGTTACCATTTTGCATTTACACAGAATGCAGTCTACCAGAGCAGAAAGGAACTATTGTCTTGCTAGGCTTAATCGTTGCTCTCTGTTTCTCTAAATCTCAAAAGCAGACTAAACTGACAAAATATATTCTGTAACTATGTTTAACTAAATAGTCTACCAGAGAGATTTTTCAAAATGTTTTTTGCTACCTGGCTTGAATTTATACATTTTCTCGTATTTTGTGCTTCCTACTTAGGTCATGAAACCAAAGCAATGCTGAACAACAGTGGACCTCGGTACAAGCGCAGTAAATTAGAGAGAAGAGCAAATACTGATGTTCTCTGGTGTGTCCTGCTTCTGATTATAATGTGTTTTACCGGTGCTTTGGGTAGGTAAAATCTCATCATTTGCTGACATCTTTTTAGGAAGATATTAATTTAAAAGTACTTTATTTTCAAAATGGTGTTTATGGATTTTTGACTTCTATAAGAGAGCTTTTATTTACCAATAATTTCATTCTCATGTCTTTATCTCTTTTATCTTTTGGCCTAAAAAACATTAATGTTGACTGTATCCAATGACACATTGCAGGAGCACCAAAGGGACCTGGGAAGAGTCTTAAAGAGAGATCGTCATGGACTGAAGAATGTGTGATTTTTTTAATTTTAATTTGGTCCCCAAAACAAACAGTTGGTGTTCAATAAAAATAGATGCTCCAATCTGTCTTTCTGCAGGAGTAAAGTTCTATATTTGCATAATATGTAGCATTGTTTTGATGTCTCCATTTTTTTGAAAGGTCATGGAATCTGGTTGAGTAGATATAAAGATACACCCTTCTTTAATATCCCCGGGCCTGATGGACATGTCATCTCACCAGTGTTGGCAGGATTTTATATGTTTTGGACCATGATCATTTTGTTACAGGTAATACCTATTGAGTTTACCATAGAATGTTTGCTACTTACTCATTTTTAGTGAGTTTCTCATCCTCTTTTTTTTTCCCCCCCAACTCTTTTAATTTTTCTGAATTGTTTGGTTCTTTTTCTTAGGTTCTGATTCCCATTTCACTCTATGTTTCCATTGAAATTGTCAAGCTTGGCCAAATATATTTTATTCAGAATGATGTGGATTTCTACAATGAGAAAATGGACTCTACTATTCAATGTCGAGCCTTGAACATCACGGAGGATCTTGGTCAGATTCAGTACCTCTTTTCTGATAAAACGGGAACCCTCACTGAGAATAAAATGGTTTTTCGAAGATGTAGTGTAGCAGGTTTTGATTACTGCCATGAAGAAAATGGTGAGTATTGAGCTTCATTTTCAGTAGTTATATTTAGTTGTGAGAATGTACCATAATATATGTAACTGATGCACCATGAGTCTAGTTACTTGTTTCTTGCTGTTACAAACAGTGCCACAACAAGCATCACTGTAGCTAAATGTCTGTGTGCATTTGTGTAGTTTATATTTTCCAAACTCCTCTACTATACTATACTGTAAGAAGCATCTTGCAACAATAATGTTTCATAAAATTCATGGTACATTGAATTATGTATTCATAGCATTTGTCACATTTAAAATTTGGATTTGTAACATTTAAGAGGGCTAGTACAAGTCCTTTTACCACCACCCCCTCCAACCTAATCCCTAAGCATATGTACTCATGCCCAGTGAGTAGTTTTTTCTTATGGCCCCTCATGCAGAGAAAATACTAAGTGAGAATCAAATGCTGTTCTGACTGAACTATAATTGATAGGTCACTGTTTGTGAACCATGGGACATGGTGCTACTTTTAAAAGATGCTGACTTTGCCTGTGAACACTTCTATTCTGTAGACCCCTCCAGAGCTTCTGGTGTCTTTTCTGTAGTGATTTAAACTAAACATGTGTATAAACACACACACCTACATATACACACACATACATATACACACACATATTCCCTTTGAATAGGAAATGGAATAAATAGTAGAGGTCAGTTCTTGCTAGAACTTAATTCTGACATATTATTTTCACTGAAATGAAAACTGTGTAACAGTTTATCTAAGTTTTAATGGCCAATCCTTTCAGAGTTTTCTGGTGAAAGTGTTGAGGAGATATATCTGTAAATATTGCTGCTTTGAAATAACCCCTGACACATATGCAGCTGCACTGAACACATCTGACAACACCATTACACATTCAAAACCTTGCAGCTTATAAGTGTGGTCCATGGACTAGCAGCAGAAGCAACACTTGGGAATATATTAGAAATGCAGAATCTCGCACACCACTTCAGAGACTCAATTTGAATCTGCGTTTTAACAAGATCCCCAGGTGGTTTATATGAATGTTAAACAAAACAAAACAAAAACTAAAAGACTTCTAAAAGAGAATGTTGTTATTGTTGTTGTTATGTGCTGT